CATGCTGGCTTCTGTGCCTGGAAATCTTTCCCTGCCCTAGCAGAACTTTAACTGCCTTCTCGAAAGTCCCTTTGTGAATCTGTCCTGTTGGCCTCCACTCCCCCTATTTCTTTGCTTCATGCACATGCTGGACCTCACGGAAGTTGCACAGCCTTGGCCATATTGTGCCACAGAAATAAGGAGGGCGTGCCTTCCATCCCTGAAACCTGTGTTTCTCAGAGTGTCCACACCTCAGTGTCTGCCATGCAGTAAGGGCTCAACCAAAGACTGACTGGGGACCTGACTGGGGTCTTGCTCTCCCTGTAAGCCTCAATTGGCAGCAATCGCAGAGCTTTGTCTGACCCTGTGAGCCTATCTGGGTGTTTTTGCTGGATGACATGCACCCCTCTGCCAGGAGTGCATAGACTAGGGTCTGGCTAGGCAGCCGTGGCAGAAAAGAACTTCAACATTGACTTTATCAGGCTGCTGTGCTTTTTTCTGTTGGCCCTCAGCACCTTTCTCATGGGCCATGATCAGCCTCAGGTCTATGTCACCTTCTGCAGCTATGTCATGGTGACTGGGGACACCATCTGAGGCATGTGCCACTGCTACACCACGGCAGGTGTTGGAGGGGTTGGGTGGGGTTAGGAGGGCTGGAGACTATGCCTCTATTTCATGCATCAATTCTCTATCCTTCGATCATCTCCTCATTGTCATTTTGACTCTGTTTACTTCTTTCTGCTCCCCTGAGCATCCATCCATGTTTCCATCCATCCTTTCATCCACTCATCCATTCATCTATTCATCCATCACTTAGCAGAAGGGTTGATCATAAGGCCCCAGGATCTGGAGCCATGAAACCGACACCATGGCGGAGAGGAAATGAAACGTGTTACTCATGTGCTTAAACCAAAAGTCAGTGAGTGTTTTCCACCTGCAAGGCACTCCTGCATTCAGGGTGCAGTTCTGCCCTTATGCTGAGCTTATTATTGCCTCTGCAGTTTCATTTTATAACAGAAAAGGCTCAGGCTCAGCAAATGAGGTTCTATAGCTGCGTGGCAGAGTTTGGATTGAAGCTCAGATGTGCAAATGTAGGCATCATTCTCTTCCTTGATTTCTCTATCCCAGGGTCCCAGAGATGCTTAGCTTCTGGGGAGGGTCAGGTCTAATCTTAGTGGAATGTATTAAGACTTTTATTTGATGGAGTCTCACTGTGTCACCAGACTGGAGTGCAGTGGGGCGACTTCGGCTCACTGTACAATGGGGTTTCACAATGTTGGCCAGGATGGTCTTGATCTCTTGACCTCATGATCTGCCCACCTTGGCCTCCCAAAGTGTTGGGATTACAGGCATGAGCCACCATGCCCAGACTAAAAATTTTATTTCTAACATGTATTTTCTCTTAAGAAATTTCAAGATTCTGATGTGTTTTTTCATATGGTGCTTACAATATGCAACTCATTCATATTAATGCTTATTCTACCTTTTCTTATATTTAACACACTTTATGATAGAATCTCACACAATTTTTCTTTTACAAACACAAAAAAACAATACTGACTGACTTATTCCTCTTACCTGTGGACAGTGAATTGCTCTTATCTCAATTAAGTGATCTAAATGTTGCATTGATAAGCTATAAATTACCTCGAACACCCCAGTTAAAAACAATTTACCATATTAAAAAACTTCAATCTTATCATCAGAACCTAAAGTCCATGTGAAATTACATGGCATGAAAAGACTAGTGAGGAAACTGTAGCCATAACACAAAGAAGAGGAAAAGCTGTGAGGCACACAGAGCTGGGGATAAACACATAAAGACATTACAAAACCAAAGATAATTAGAAAGCAAGAACAGAAATTCTCTTTAAATTCATGAGTTGGTTCTGCAGCCTGGAAACAGATTCCTCTCTGCAGGCACAATTAATGCCATTTCTTCACCATATATATTTTCAATTTTTTACCTGGAGCTACAAACTAACTCCAGGAATATTTATGGCTAATTATGAAGCATCTGTTACAATCCCAGCGTTTTGTTTGTTCACTACAAGAATACATCAAAACATCCCCATGACTTACAAAGTTTTCCCAGTACTTACCTGAACAAATTGGCACAATAAACTCATTTATGTCAGTTATAAAAAGTGAAAGAACAATAACTAAAGAAAACAGCTTATGTAGCGTTCTTCAATTAAAACAACAAAATGAAATGTTCTAACTAAAATATAACTTAATACACACATTATGAAATTACAGCCAAAAATTATTTTGGGCTCACTACTGAATTTTATGAAAATAATTCTTATAATTTCTGACCAGCTCACATAATACTTCATGAAGTGAAAACAAAAACAGAGAAACAAAGAAATTATAGCTCTAGCATGAGCATCAGACAAATAAAAACAGAGAATTTGCATGGGGAGATTTTCAACAACAATTCAATAGACTTTACAGTAATTAATTAGATAAAAAATATAGATGTGGTTTCAGAATGTTTTAGGTTTCTAGATTTCTAGTAAATTATCCATGGTATTAATAAAATCTTCTTTGTTCTAATATTGCTATTTTCTTTGGAAAATAGGTGCAAACTCACACAAGCAGAATCGCTCGCTCCATAATTTTCTTAAACCTAATGTTTATCTTTAGAGCAATACAGTTATATATTTAACTTCATGTAAATGAAACTAAAGTCTGTATGAGTTTGCAGGAAAAGATGCCACATGTTCAAAGATAAACATAAAACATTTTTAAAGTACTCATTCAGGACTCAGAAATGTATGAATTATAATTATACTCTGATATAATACTACAATCATAATCTTACATTTAAAAATAAAGTGTATAACTGGATTGTGTATAATACAAGGGATAAATGCTTGAGGTGATGAATAACTCATTTACTCTGGTATGATTATTATATGCCTATATAAGAAAATAATGCATATATATCATAAATACACATATTACGTACCCACAAAAATTTTTTAAAAAACAACAATAGAATGCAACATATGGAGATTATATTCTTCAATGTATTTGCTATTTAAAGCCACTGGGAAAAGAATACTAAAATTTTCATTCAACTATGTTACCATTGTTACCATCTTTTACCTACAACCTTGAGTAAGGAGGGACAGGTTAAAGTTGGTGGCATAATAACACTTCATTCAAGCAACAATTATTTCAACACATTAACAATTTTGTTTAGTTAAAAAATTATGTTCCTGCCTAATATTAAGAGAATTTTAAAATTTACTGCATTTTATTACATAAATGTACAATTGGTGAAACAATTTACCACTAAAATACACATTATTTTTCTCACTACTATGAAGAAGAATATTACTCTGAACACCTACCTCATGCATCACTCAATATTTTCAACTACAAAAAAGCCTCTCTGCTTAGATTTCCATTGTGGTTCTTTCATTTCTGTCCTCTTTCTTTTACAGTTCATGAATAGGCTGGGCACAGTGGCTCATGCCTGTAATCCCAACACTTTGGGAGGCCGAGGTGGGTGGATCATGAGGTCAAGAGATAGAGATTATCCTCGCCAACACGGTCAAACACCATCTCTACTAAAAATACAAAAATTAGCTGGGCGTGGTAGTGTGCACCTGTAGTCCCAGCGACTCGGGAGGCTGAGGCGGAAGAATCATTTGAACCTGGGAGGTGGAGGTTGCAGTGAGACAAGATTGTGCCACTGCACTCCAGCATGGCAACAGAGTGAGACTTCGTCTCCAAAAAAAAAAAAAAAAGTTCATGAAGAATGCCTCCCTAACGAAAAATCATCTCTTATCTCTGATGCAGCAACAATTCATCACATGCTTTCACATAAACAGGAATGCTGAAATAGTATGAAATAATTTGAGTCGAACTATTATATGCTTTTCAAAAAATCTATACTTTTTTTCAAGTGAAAAAAATATACTTTAAATTTAGTATCTCTTCAAAAATCTTTTTTCAACTTATATACAAAGAAATTCTCTAACAGGTTCAACTTTGGATTGCTTTTTCTACTTAATACTCCAATTTACTGTAGTATCTGGTGTTAGCTCCCTAGTTCTATTGTAAATCCTGATGTTTACATAGTCTTAATTTTAGACTAAATATTTCTTTACATTTAATGCATCTACAAAATGTCTTCTCGTATAAACTCTCTAGTGCTTTTTAAGCTGCAGTTTTTTGAACAAATGTTTTTCCACATTTATTTCATTTGTAGGATTTCTCTCCCATATAAATTTTCTCATGTTGAAGAAAGTCTCCTTCAGGGTTTTCCTCTATTACAAGGTGTGCACAATTAAGATCCATGATAGAAGTACTGGTACTACAACCCTCTTTATATTTGTATTGTTTGTCTTAAGATTACTCTTCTCTTTAAAGGCTTATATTTTCTAAAAAGTCTTTCATCATAAATTATATTTATAATGTCTTTACGAAGTCTGAACTTTGCTTAGTTTAGTTAGTAAAATGTGAGTAGATATGACTTTTCTACAATTTTTATATTTCTGCAACTTTTCTCAAGTATAAAGGCTATCATGTGCAAAAAGATGAGCATTGGTAAAGAGTTTTGCCACAGTTTTTGTATTTCCAGATTTCTTCAGTAGAAATTATATACAGTAAGATGTGACATGCATTTGAAAGCTTTGCCATTGCCACATTTTTCTTATTATTATGGCTTTTCACCAATATCGTTACTCTTATATTTAGAACAGACTGAGGTGTGGTTAAAAGCTTTGCCACATTTTTTCATGTTTGTAGTTTCTCTCCAGCATGAATTATCTTATGATTTAGAAAGGACTGAGGGAGATTTAAAGACTGCCATATTATTCACATTTGTAAGACTTTCCTCCAGTATGAATTCTCTCATGTTTAAGAAGCCTGGGGTATGGCTTAAAGGCTTTGCCACATCCTTGACATTTCTATGGTTTTATATCCAGCATGAATTTTCTTATATTCATTTCTCTATCTTCTTCTCAGTAAGTTTGTGGAATGAATCTTTAATACCCAAGTATGAATTTTCATAAAGGCATGCAAACTGTCTTAAGGCTTTGCCACATTCTTCACATTTGTAGAACTTTTCCACAGAATGAATTCTCTTGTGTACAGTAAGGGTCTCTTGAGAGCCTATTAAAGGATTTTCTTCATGTGTAGGCTTTCTCTCTGGTATGAATTCTCTTATGTTTAACAAAGTTTGAGGATGTGGTAAGGACTCTGCAACATTCTTCATATGTGAAGGGTTTCGCTCCAGCATGAATTCTCTTATGTTCATTAAGGGCTGAGGACCATTTAAAGGCTTTGCCACATTGTTCACATGTGAAGTTTCTTTACAGCATGAATTATATGTATTAAGGGTTGACGACCAATTAAACGCTTTGCCACATGTGTAGGGCTTCTCTCCAGCACAAATTTTCTTTCTTTCTTTTAAGCAGAGTCTCGCTCTGTCACCAGGCTGGAGTGGAGTGGCATGATCTTGGCTCATAGCAACCTCTGACTCCCTTGTTCAAGGTATTCTCCTGCCACAGCCTCCCGAGTAGCTGGGATTACAAGTGCCCACCATCACACCCAGCTAATTTTTGTATTATTTTTTTTCTTTTAGTAGAGATGGGGTTTCACTGTGTTGGCCAGGATGGTCTTGATCTCCTGACCTGGTGATCTGCCCACCTTGGCCTCCAAAAGTGCTGGAATTACAGGCATGAGCCGCCACACCTGGCCTTACAAATTTTCTTATGTTGATTCACGATTGTGGACCATTGAAAGGCTTTGCTACATTCTTCAAATTTGCAGGGGTTATCTTCAGTATGAATTTTCTCTTATTCATGGGTCAGGACTGTTTTAAAGGTTTTGTCACATTCTTTACATTTGTAGGGTTTATCTACAGTATGAATTTTCTTATGTTGACTCAGGAGTGAGAACTGTTTTTTATTTTTTATGTTCATTCAGATTTGTGGACCATCCACAGGCTTTGCCACATTCTTCCCATTTGTAGTTTCTCTCCAGTATGAATTATCTTGTTTAGCAAGGTTTGAGAATGAGGTAAAGAACTTCATACTGTTGACACTTCCGGGGTTTCTCTCCAGTATAAATTTTCTCATGTTCATTCAGTTTTGTGGACCATCCAAAGGCTTTGCCCACATTCTTCAAATTTATAGGATTTCTCTCAAGTATGAGTTTTCTTATGTTTATTCAAGTGTGAGAACCGTTTAAAGGCTTTGTCACACTCTTTACATTTGTAGGGTTTATCTACAGTATGAATTTTCTTATGTTGACTCAGGAGTGAGAACTGTTTAAAGGCTTTGTCACATTCTTTACATTTGTAGGGTTTATCTGCACTATGAATTTTCTTATGTTGACTCCGATCTGTGGACCGTCTAAAGGCTTTGCCACATTCTTCACATTTGTAGGGTTTTTCTCCAGTATGAATTTTCTTATGTTCATTCAGGACTCTGGACCGCCCAAAGGCTTTGCCACATTCATCACATTTGTAGGGCTTCTCTCCAGTATGAACTTTCTTATGTTCATTCAGTTTTGAGGACTGTCTAAATGCTTTGCCACATTCTTCACATGTGTAGGGTTTCTCTCCAGTATGAATTCTCTTATGTTTAGTAAGAGTTGTGGACCTATTAAAGGCTTTGCCACATTCTTCACATTGGTAGGGTTTCTCTCCAGTATGAATTCTCTTATGTTTGGCAAAGTTGGAGGATGAGGTAAAGATTTTGCCACATTCTTCACATGTGATGGGCTTCTCTCCAGCATGAATTCTCTTATGTTTAGTAAGGGTTGTAAACCTATTAAAGGCTTTGCCACATTCTTCACATTTGTAGGGTTTCTCTCCAGTATGAATTATCTTATGTTTAGTAAAGTGTGAGGATGTGGTAAAGATGCTGCCACATTCTTCACATGTAAAAGGTTTCTCTCCAGTATGAATTCTCTTATGTTCATTAAATATTAAAGACCATTTAAAGGCTTTGCCACAGTCTTCACATGTGTAGAGTTTCCCTCCAGCATGAATTCCCTTATGTTGAGTTAGCTGAGAGAACTTCTGAAATGATTTGCCACATTCTTTACATTTAAAGGGTTTCTCTCCAGTATGTCTTGTCTCACATTTGTTTGAATTTGAAAACTTACCAAAAACTTTGACACGTGCTTTACATTGAAATATTTTGCTCTGGGTAGTTGACAAGCATTCATTAAATTCATTATAACCTCCTTTCTGCACCTTACACTCATTCGAACTTTTACAGCCTTTTCTTAATTGTAAATTCTCATGTCCACACTTCTCATATCTTCTCAGTATAAGTCTGTGGAATGAATCTTCTATGCCCTCCACTGGCCAATGGTCTTGGGTGAAAGGAGAACACATAGCTGAAAGAAAAAAATAACAAATTATCCCACTTACTAGACTCATATGAATATACTTTACAAATCTTATATAATTATACAAAGTACATTAGTAAGATGGCGTAACAAAATACCACAGGCCATAATTCTTTTACAGACATATACATGCGGCCAGGTGGCTCATGCCTGTAATCCCAGCACTTTGGGAGGCCGAGGTGGGCTGATCATAAGGTCAAGAGATCGAGACCATCCTGGCCAACATGGTGAAACCCCATCTCTACTAAAACAACAAAAATTAGCTGGGTGTGGTGGCACATGCCTGTAATTCCAGCTACTTGGGAGGCTGAGGTGGAGAATAACTTGAACCCAGAAGGCGGAAGTTGCAGTAAACTGAGATCACGCCACTGCACTACAGCCTGGTGACAGAGTAAGACCCCGTCTCCAAAACAAACAAACAAACAAACAAAAAGGCATATACATGTAACAAACATATACTAACAAAAATGCCTTTGTGTGAAATCTATAAATGAGTTAATTGTATGCAATGCCTCATGTAAGCACAATGCAAAGAGCCACATGGAACAGGAAGGAAAGTTTGTTACATTTACCCACCAACAGCTCTTCCTTCTCCCCAATATAGTATTGTGCGCTTAGGAGTAAACTGTCAACTCCTGGCTTCATCCTTTAAAGAGAAGAAAAATGCTACACACATATCCTTACTTCTGGCTTTTGGGGGTCTTTACAAAAAATGGTTTCTGTCTCCAATAACACAGAGTGCTGAGAGAAGTGGTGGTATACTTTGTAAATGTTTCAGGAGCAGACTGCAGTGCTAAATACAGCCAACAGGTAGAACAAGTGATTAGACTCTTAAGAAGAAACATGAAAAACCCTTTTAACTGAAAAACAAACACAAAATTTAAGACAATACACATCCCTAGAACATGTATGAGGTTCCCATACACTCTATATCAAAGACAATTGGTTTTAGACTATGTCAGGAAAAAGCTACACTGTAAAGATTGTGACAAACAGCTTTTTGTTAATGCTCAAATAACAAGCAAACATTACAATGTATACAAAATATTGAACATGGTCCGACAATTTAAAAATTTTCAGAAAAAAAAATGAAGTACAAATTTTAAAAATTTAACGTGAATAAAGCCCAATGAACTAAATGGTAACATGACTAAATATAATTTAAAAAATCAAAATATTAGTGAAAACATTAAAAATATTTTAAAAATCATGGAGGTAAAAGATACATGTATGTATCTTGACTGAGGAATGACTGAGGAATTTTTTAATAATGACTGAGGAATTTTCAAAAAATTGACTGAGGAATTTTCAAAATTAATGACAGGAATTTTCAAAAGTAAAAAAAGGATGTAAAAAATGGAAGAAGCTCGGCCCGGCTTGGTGGCTCATGCCTGTCATCCAAGCACTCTGGATGCCAAGGCAGGTGGATCACCTGAGATCGGGAGTTCAAGACCAGCCTGACCAACATGGTGAAACCCCGTCTTAGGAAAAAAAAAAGAAGAAGCTCAGCAAAATTCAACTAGGACACACACAGAGATGTATAACAAGGCACATATATAAGCAAAGTTTCAAAAGTCAAAGAGAAAAATGGACTCTTATGAGCAGCAAAGATAAAAGTATTATGTCATTTATAAGTATGCTCTTGTAAGATAACCAGTGAATCTGTCAACAACATTTTTTTTTTTTTTTTTTTTTTTGAGATGGAGTCTCACTCTTGTTACCCAGGCTGGAGTGCAATGGCGCAATCTCGGCTCACCGCAACCTCCGCCTCCTGGGTTCAGGCAATTCTCCTGCCTCAGCCTCCTGAGTAGCTGGGATTACAGGCACGTGCCACCATGCCCAGCTAATTTTTTGTATTTTTAGTAGAGACGGGGTTTCACCATGTTGACCAGGATGGTCTCGATCTCTTGACCTCGTGATCCACCCCCCTCGGCCTCCCAAAGTGCTGGGATTACAGGCTCGAGCCACCGCGCCCGGCTGTCAACAACATTTTTTCAGAGAAGAGAAAGTTGTGATATAGTTAATGTGCTGAAGGAAAAATAACTTCTAAATGGGAATAATAAAACCAGCAAAACTGTGCTGAAAATGAAGAAAAAGTAAAGACTTTTTAAGATAACCAAATGCTGAAAGTGTATTAGCACACCTGCCTTATTAAAAAAAGATGCTGAAGTATCTTCCACTGAAAATAACATGATGCAAGAAAACATAATCATATGAAAATACATAACTTTCTGAAAAAGATATGCACATACACAAAGTTCTGTATCATTATCATAATAGTGTAAAAAACTTTATTCTCTAAAGTTTCAAAGACAAAAGCAAAAAAATGATTATAAACAGTTCACCATAATCTGGTAATAAAAACACAACAAAAAATAGGATCAGTGACATCAATAACAACATTGAGGGAAGATGCAATAAGGAAGAATTTTCAAATGAAGCCAAAGTTACATTTTTACCAGTTTAAAATATATTATTTTGGTCAGGCACAGTGGCTCACACCTGTAATCCAAGCACTTTGGGAGGCTGAGCTGGGTGGATCACAAGGTCAGGAGATCAAGACCATCCTGGCCCCAATGGTGAAACCCCATCTCTACTAAAAATACAAAAAGTAGCTGGGCATGGTGGCATGCAACTGTAGTACCAGGTACTCAGAAGGCTGAGGCAGGAAAATCGCTTGAACCCAGGAAGCGGAGGTTGCAGTGAGCCGAGATCACACCACTGTACTCCAGCCTGGGTGACAGAGTGAGAATACATCTCAAAAAAAAAATACTTTATCTTTCAGAAATTTTACAGAATTCCCAAGATACCACAAATAAAGTATCTGTATAGATACGCAAAAGTATAAGAAGTCCTATCAATACAAAAATCTAAAAGATGAATAGGAAGACCGAAAAAGAAGATAAGGGACAAAGATAAAATAATCCAGTAAAACAATTAAACAAGTAAGCTTTTCTATTTCAGCAAATTATTCACATATTTATGAAGTTAACTTTCCATTCAAAATACATGCACCAAACAAAGGGATTCCAAAAATTAAAGAACAAAATGCAACTTGTTTTTCTACAAGTCACTTGAGGTCTAATGATTAAAGGAGACTGAAAAAGGCAACATGAAAGAAGACATTTCATGGAA